ATATTTGCTCGATGTGGCAACTCTATGCACCTTACACTGCAGACCACCTGAATGAACTTTGTCACATGTAATTTCAGAATTCCAGTTTTAGGCCTTTACTTATGCTCTTCCCTCTGTCTAAATAATTATCCCATTATTCCCTCAAATCCTACCCATTCTTCAACCTGAATGCCACCTCTCTTTTTAAGCTTTCTTATCCTTTGAGCTGACCTTACTGACGCCTCCCTCCGATAACACTTTCTTTGTCTCTCTACTTCCACTTCCTTATGCTCTATTTGTGATCAGAGTTGTTTATCTACTTGGCTTAACTCTCCGGTGAGCAAGGCAGGGACCCTGTCTGAGTACAAAGCAATGTGTAAAAAGCTTGGGCTCTGGAGTCAGATGAGTTTTGCTTGATTTCATCTCTTCCGCTTAACCAGCTGTGCGACTTTGGGCAAGATTTTCCACTTCCTTGGGACTCAGTTTCCTCATCTGTAAAATCGGGATTATAAGAGTAATTTCTGCATAGGTTTTTGGTGAAAAATAAATGAGATAAAGCTTTGAGAGTGTTTAGAATAGAGCAAGTGTACATAATGTGCTCAGTAAATGTTCACTATTGTTATATTGGGTTGTCGGAAAAGTCATGACACATTTTTGCAACGAAAAACATAGAAAAAATATGTCATGACTTTTCCGACAACCCAATAAATCATCATCTCTGTATCCTCAGGGCCAAGCACAGTGTAGTGATCAGTAGCATCTACTCAGTGAATGAGTGGGTGGGTGGATGGATACATACATGAGTAAAAGACCTAGATGTTCCATGGGAGAGAGCTGTGTATAATACATTATTCCTCTCTAGGGGAGTAAATTGCTGTTCAGAGATTGCTATACAAATGTTTGTCTCATAGGGGCACTTCTGTGCTTCTATTCTCGACAGTAATTTTTGGAAGTGCAAATCTAGACATGTGCCTTTCACTCTTCCCCTGTACCCCTGTGGACTACTAAGAAACTTGATTTCCACTGGGCTTTGCTCTCTCCCTCTGTTACAGTGGAGCTGATTGACTGAAAGATAGGTAAATACTTGGAGACCAAGAAAAATATGAAAAAGAAAAAAGATGACAGACAGCAGATTGGTGGTTACCAGAGGGGGTAGGGTGGCGGGAGGGCAAAATGAGTCAAGGGGGTCAAACCTATGGTGACTGATGAAAACGACTTTTGGCGGTGACCATGCTATGGTATATACAGATATCGAATTATCGTGTACACTTGAAACTTACATAATGTTATAAACCAATGTTACCGCAATAAAAATAAAAGAAAAAAATGAATTGCAAATGCCAAGTTCTTTTCAGGTTTACTTTTCTGATTCCTCACTGTTACCTCCCTGCCCCTCACTGCCCAACAGTACTCCAGGGTTTGTGGGGTTCATGGCATTCATTAAAATGAGCATAAAATAAACAGGTAGAGATTGAATTAAAAGGAAGTGAGGCAGGCAGTTTTCTAGTGCCGTGGAATGTATTATTCTTATCTGAAGTCACACCATATTGCCTGTCATATAGTAGGTGTCAAATCAATATTTGTTGAGTGACTGGACATTGTTGAAGGAAAGGTAGATTATATATAAATACACAGATAAATTGTTTTTCTTAAATGCAATAAATGTGGAACAACTTTTCTACCCCTTCTTTTTGCCTACCATGTCCCTGGTTCAACCTGGAAAAGTGACTAATTAGGTAGCCTCTGTCAAAGGAACCTTGCCTGAACTTTGGTGCAAGTACCATTCATTAAGCACCTCTGCTGGGTTCTTGAGGCTCATAAGGACATGAGAGCTTAGTTGGTCTAACTTTCCCCTTGTATACTCCTAATGATAGGGAGCTCACTACTTTATAATCTTTGTGATGCTCTTAATCTGTGCTGTGATCTTTGAATGCCCTAAAAATCTCTGTTGCATCAATGACAGATATGGTACTAGAACCCAAACCTCTTTATAACCCAGACAAGGGTAGTCTCCGCTGGACAACCCTTAGAACTATAAAGCTGTATTTATTCAAAGGCGGTGGGGAAAGAGTTTTCCCAGGAAGCAGGAGACCGGGTCTAAGTCTGAGCTCTGCCCTTGACTAGCTGTGTGCAATTGGGTCATCCCTTTCCTTATGTTTCCCTTTTTGCACAATGAGGGGTTTCAAACTGAATTCTCTGCAAGGTTATTCCAGCTCATGTGTTCCGAAATTCTCTAGCGAGGTCTAATTAAGATATTGTAATACAGTAGTTCTCAAAGTTTGGCCCAAGAATCCCTACGGGTCCCTTAGACCCTTTTCTCACTACATACTTGTGGGAGGCAGGATTTTCTTCATATAGTACTTCAGCCAAAACCGTGTGTCACAACAGTGCAGGAGTGGCTACAGAGTCCAGCTCCTATTAAGCCCAACATTCAAGAGAATTGCAAAAAATGTAAAAGCATTCCATTTTTCTCAGTAAATTTATTTTTGTTGTAGAAAATTTTGCTATTCTTTATGAAATGCATTAAAAAAATATGCTCCCCATGTGTCATTTATGTTAATATGTCTTTTTTTTTAAGATTTTATTGGGGAATCGGGGGAAGGGGAACAGACAAGTTGCTGTCCTTTTGTTCTTCAGTCTGTTGTGGAAGACGTTGCTTCGCTGGCCCAGGTTGGCACCATCGTTGTGCTCTTCCCAGGCGAGGCAGATCAGTCACTGGCTTCCAGATGGCCGCTCACGGCGGCTGCTGGCTGCTCACGCTGGCTGCCGGTCACACATGGTAGCTGATGGCAGCCCACTACAGCAGGGGCTGCAGCCTACGCCATCGCCAGAGACTCACGGCAGCCCAGCTCCAGGTCGAGCTGTTGTTCACCATCTTAGCTGTAGAGGGCAGTGTCACTGGCCCTCATGTGGGATCCGAACCGGGGCCCTGCTGTTCAGAGCTGGCGTCCCAAGCCAACTCTTAACCAATACAGCACTCGGCCGGCTCAATATGTCTAATTTTTGAGCAGGCAATTTTTAAACAAATGAACGAATCAATCAATACTGTTTAAATATCTCCGTCTTCATTTCTAATGCAGTAAATATCCACAGATGTAGCCCACAGAAATAAAAACTCTTTGGTCTTTCACAACTTTTAATAGTGTAAAAGGGTCCTGAGAGCAAAAATTTTGAGAAGTGCTGTTAGAACAGAAAAGAACTGGGATTTGAATCCAGGCAGTTTACCTGGAAAGTTCATTGGCTTACTCACTGCACTATACTGTCCTCAGGGCTAAAGTGGCCCAAGAGGCCCGGAACTGAATCAGAAGTCGCCTGTTCTCTCCGATCGAGTGCCCAAAGCCACAGCTGGTGTACCTCCTCCTGGAGGTCTGGAGCCAAAGAAGGAGGTGATTCCAGGGAGCAGTGGGCCGCATGGCCGTGGTAGGAGGCCTGTGCTCCTGTCCTGCCATCTCGCCTCCATGGTTCTCCATCCCCAGGCCTCTGGCTGTGGGGGGAGGAGGGCATATGCTCACAGGAGGGAACACTGCTTGGCTCTGGGGGCTTCCACTTGGAGGTGGATGCGAAGCAGCCATTGTCTTGCCTCGGGCTGACTATCATCCTGACAGGGCCCAGCAGAATGGCTAGAAAGAGGGGGAGAGATCAGTTATCGCCACCTCCCAGGACACAAATGGGGAAACAGGGCCACAGGGAAAGTTGTAAGCTGAGCTGGAAGGATCCCTACAGACCCTTGGGACAAGCCTCTGGACCAAATCACTGATAAGGAAAGTCCTCAGAGACAGGCAGAAGCTTGCTCAAAGCATGCTTAGGAGCTTCTGGGGTCCCAGGATTTGGCCCTTTGCCAGACCAGCTCGGGTCTCTGAAAGGGAAGTGAGGCCAGGGGGAGTAAGTTATTCTGGGCATTGTGATGACATATGTCCCCAGAGACCCAAGCCTGGCCTTTTGCCATGGGGTCTCTGGGAGCCTTCTGGCCTCCAGCCATGGCACCCTGCCTGCGGAGGATTGGGACAGGAGGAATCACTGCTTCTTAATGGCTTCCTGCTCAGAATGCCTCCAGAACTGCCCAGCACTAACTCCGTTTCCACTGGGAGACCTGGCTGCAGTGCACGCAGAAGGTCCAGCTTCGGATACCAGGCAGAACTTGTGGATATGGAGGGTTCTGAGTATGGGAGTATGGGAGTGGATAAAGGAGGGCAGACGTCTTCTCAGGTGTTCGGAAAAGGACATACACTGTGATCTGGGAGAGAGCTGTGATGCCCTGAGGCGGCGGGGGGGCGGAGGTGGATGAAATGGTCTTTCATGGCTCACACTTCCTATGGATTCCCAGGGAAGCCCAGGAGTTCTGAGAGGAGTTGTGATTGTTGTCCAGAATGGAGAATTTTCTAGACTTGCACTATCCTTAACCCCAAACAGGAGTCATACAATAAACTTGAGACTTAGAGACCTGTGACCCTGCCTCTCTCTCAACAGCCAGGAAAACTGAGGCCCTGAAAGGAAGGGGACTCCCCGAGATGCCAGAGTGAGTCACGATCCCTGGCTGTAGAGCAGGGTTCGGGCATGGCCCCATGACCAAAGGCCCAGAGCTTCCGGTCTGAGAAGGTTTCCCCAGGCCATAGGTTTCCCGTCTGCTGACTGCCTTCACACCTGCCTAGGGCCTGCCTGGGTTGAGGACTCTCCTCTCTGGGCCTTTTTCCTTGGCACTCTTTCCACAGCCTCTGTGTGGTCTTGGTTGTACCCAGAGGCCCCCAGGGAGAGCTGGTATGTCATTCAGCAGGAGGCTTGCCAGCGTGCAGGTGGCAGGACTGGCGCGTGAGCAAGCAGGCAGGCTGGACACTCCAAGCTTGGGAACTGTAATGTTCAGAGAATTCCAATTGGCACTGCTGTCCAGTCCCAGCCAACTGGTTAACGGTGCTGAGTTTGAATCAGTGACCCGCCTCCTGTCCCTCCTCCTTAGCTAGCCTCTCCCTCTCTCCCTCCCTTCTTCCCTCCCTTGGCCGGCCCTCCCGGAGGCGCCTGGAGTGGAGCGAGCTGAGCTCAGGACAGCCGCTGCTTTCCGCCTCTCCCCTCTCTGTGCCGTGCCGGCTGATGGAGTGCAGGGCCAGGGCTGGCTCCCGTGGAGCCCCCGCTCCCCTCTAGCCTAGTCCCTAGAGAAGGAGAGGCCTGTGCCCAGCAGAGCTGTGCAGGGCCCTGCCACCTCCCCACGCCCCACCATGCCTCTGCTGGACGTTTTCTGGGCTTGCTTCAGGAAAGTGAAGGTAAGTGGCTGTCCAGAGCCAGCCCACCCCACTGCTCAGGCGAGAAAGGAGGCAGCTGGGGACCACTGCATGCTAGCCGCAAGGCAGATGGTCTTCTGAGACCGCCTTGGCACTAGCTAGGCTTGGGATCAAGTCCCACCTTTGTCATTTAACCAGCTCTGTGACCTGCCGCTGCTTTCCCACGAAATTAAGTAGGCTAGCTGGCTCCTGTTCATTAAACTTGCCTCTGTTGCTTCCTGGGCCTTGCCACTGAGGCACGGTTCTTAAAGCCCCAGTCTCCTTAGCTTTACAATGAAGACAATAGTGACACTGACTTTATAGGGTGATGGGGTTGGTGGGGTTTTTCGTGTATTCAATGTTTGCAAATATAAGAGATAATGTGTGTAAAGTTCCTAGCATGATGACTAGCATGCACGCATAGCATCCATACGAGTGGTGGTCACTATTACTATGATTATGATTACTAATTTCCATCAACATATATCAAGCACCTTCTCTGTGCTCGGCACCATAGGAGTTACACAAAGTAAAAAATGGGCATGGTTTCTGTCTTCAGAGAGGAGGTAAGAAGAGTGACAAATCTTTATCAGTAACCTACTACATGTATATGGCAGACACCATGCTAGATAGTTGGTCGGTTAATAAATATCTGTTTCATGCCTACTATGTCACGGACATGAGTACAGGGGTACAGCAGGACCCACAGTCTGTGTAGGGCATGACTTCTGCTCTCAAGAACCAAGGAAATGATATTTATTTAGGATCCTCTAGGTACCAGATGTAGGCACTTTCATTAACTCTGGTGGTAATCTCACAAGCCGTTGTTTTTATGCTTTTATACCTAGAGAAAGGACACTGAACGATTAAGAAATGTTTACAAGGACACTCAGACATGACTGGCAGGGTTGGGATGGGAGCCCCAAGCCCGTCCTCTCCATGACACTATGTGATTCTAACACAGGATGAAAGAAGGGCTGGGACCCTTGGAAGGAAAGATCACTTCCACCACTGGGAGGGGCTTGGAGAGAGTTCACAGTTTGTCACATTTGGGCTGAGCCTGGGGCTCAAAGGAAGAGAAGAGTTTGTCAGTCCAAAAAGGGGGGAAGGGCATTCCAGGCATGCCTGGCAGTGGGAACTTCATGAGCAAGAGTCCGGAGGCCGCCAAGTGGTGGTGGGTTGGGGAAAGGGCTGGTTCGTGACGGCATCAAGCACAGGGTTCAAGGGGAGAGAAAAATTGATCTGCGGGTTTGTGGCCCTCACCTGGCGGGGGTCCCAAATGAGATTTTCACTCATCTGCGGTGAAATGAGAGAAAAGTGGGGATAGTAGAGTGCAGTTTTCAGAAAGCTAAGTTAATTCAACTCAAAAGACTATTCTTTATTTAGAGATGATTATGTCCTTTGTGAAGGGGTGGGGTTCAAGTGATCTTTCTTTATGAAATAAGAGTGAGAGATTTAAAAAATATCTGTCCTCAGGGAAATAAAAATGTTTGCAACATTCTGACTGGTCCCCTATTTATTTAAGTATTTTCTTCCTCACCCATGAAATTCCGAAGTCTGGAGGCTGTTGTGTTAGGGTATGGGGGGATTTTAGTAAAGGAGGGATATAATGAAATGAATGTTTCTAAGCACCCAAGCAGTCTTGGGTGGGGGCGGTGTGGAAGGGCCCACATGATGAGGTGGAGGCAGGAAGGTGGGTGGGAGGAGATGATGAGAGATGGAGCTAAGGATAAGGGCAGGGAAAGGGGGACTGTGAAAGTGCCTGAGAGGTTTGACGCCTATTTAGCATCGCTGTCCACTACCTGGCTAACCACTCTGGGTTCCTGGCATGGATTTAAATCTCTTTCTGAGAATTACCCCAATCTTTAAGACTGCCAGCAAACACTCCCAGCCCATGGCAACACCTTAGAACTTGTTGGGGTAGGAAAGCCCCAAGAAAGGCTAGGGATGTCTATTCCACGTCCCAGACACTAGTCGCACGCGTGCGCGCACACACACACACACACACACACACAGACATTCACTCATGTGCGTGTCCACAAACACAGAATGTACACGTTTGTGCACATGCTCAGCTGCACACACATACACACACACACACAGAGACAAACACATGCAAATGCGCATGCACATGCAGACAGTGCAAAGCCACAAACATGGAGCCTCACATATACCTGCACACACATAGAGAAGTAGGCACACACGCACACAAACGCATACCCTCCCACACACAAGCACGCAGGCATACACAGACCAGGCACATACACAAAGTTATGTAGACATATAGAAGCATGCACGTGGACACACAGGGCTGTGGTGGATGCAAACCAATGCGTGGTTAGATCTCAGGGCTAGGAGGCAGCCTGCCAGACCCACGCACACGCTTGGGTTTCACATCTCCTTGTCCAGTGCTATACTGCTCTGAGGCCCATCAGACAGGCAGGCCTTCTGAGCTTGCAAGCTCCATCAACGGTATGGGCTGCTTTGGGCTGAGAGTCCTCTCAGCCTCAGTTCGTTGTCTGTCAAGTCAGTGCCTTTCTCACAGAGCGCCTGGCATGGAGTAGGTGGTCAACACACCTGACTTGAGAGCAGATTTCCCAGCTGCACACCAGAGGCACCAAAGCAAAGAACAATGGTCATTCCATGTTTGGCTACTCCAGGGTTAAGATCTCAGGTTGCATCTCTTTTGTCACAGCCCTCTACTCTGGCCTTGCCTGAGTCTAAGAGCAGAGCGACCCATTTGGGAGCTGAAGAGTGACACCTCAGAAGCCATGGATCCTGGGAAAGTGACAAGGGGCCAGGCCAGGGCTCAGGAGTGCTTTGAGTTGCATTGGGGGTTAAGGGCAGCCAAGGGACAAGATGCTTGGATGTGAGATGAAGCCAGTGTAAATAGTTCCATACGTGTCTGCTGTGTGTTCTGGAGGCCAGCGGGCCGGGAAGGTATCCATGGTCTCTCAGTACAACCACGCACACGGACGAGTACCCCGCCCCCAGCCTCACACCTCCACATGCGCGTGCGCACACACACACACAGGACTGTTTCTTCCATGTGCTCTTTCACCCCCTCCCAGCATCGAGCACGGTGTTATGCATATAGCGAGTCCCCAGAACTTGGATGCTCTCTCATGGTATTCTCTTGTTTCAGGTGGGCACATCAGTTCTTGGAGGGCACTCGCCTCCAAGTGAGGTAGAGAATCTGGCTGGAGCTCCAGCTCAGCCATGACCTCTAGGTGACATTGAGGGTCAATACTCCCTGCTGTCCGTCAGCTCTTTCCTCTTATGACAGGTAGATAGTTACACAATACCCGAGATGGAAAGACCCACAGAGGTCATCTGTTTCTCCTTCCAAACTATCGATGAGAAAACTGAGGCCCAGAGAAGGGAAAAGATGTGCCCAAGGTCACACAGGGGGTCAAGACACAACCGGATCCGCACACGGTCTGTGTAATAGAGCAGGTAGGGCATCTAGACACATGCCACACACACGTGCACACATCCACGCACGTGGTAATAAAATTATAGACAGAAAAGTCCCTTGTAAACTGGGAGGTTGGCCTTGTAGAAGTTCCATAGGGACACCATGCTTGTCCCGAGTCACTGTCCTCACATCCTTAGTCACGCAAGTGAGTACATATGTGCACGAGGGCTCTCCAGCATTCACCCAAGGACACATTCTCAGCAGCCTCTCCTGTTCATGAGCTTCCACAGAGTGCTTGGGGCTTCCACGTGGCTGCCTCGGTACCTGGGCACACGGGTGCATGCTTTTGCATCCCCTCTGCAGGCTCATTCATGCGCATATGCTCGGTACACGGCCTCATGTCTGCTTGTTCACACCCTGGGCCCTCTCTGCCCCAGGCCAGCTCGCAGCTTCCCAGTCTTTGCCAGGAATCAGCATGGCAGGATATGGGGTAAGAGTGTGACAATGACCGGTGATTCCGCAGTTCCACTCCCAGCCCCCAGGACCTCTCCACTTTTCCAGACCTCTGCCCTTGTCGCCCGTCAGTGTGTGTTTGCCATGGGAGAGGCAGGAGGAACTGTGGAGAATTCAGGGGAGCGTGTGAATGCACAGAAACCCTCAGATACTCTGCGTGCCCTTCCCACATTCCATGCACAACTCCTCTCTACCAAGACGCCACCGGTGCCTCAACCAGCCTGAGTTTGTGTATGTATATCTGAGACTTATACATACAGCCACCTCTCAATTAGTGGGTCCAAAGCAAGACGTTATGAAATAGACTCTCAAGTCATGACAAAATCACTTAGCAAGGGCAGAGTAGGGCCCTATACCCCACGGAAGGAGGTTTCACCCCAGGACCACTCTCTGCAGTTCTACAGCCCTGACTCACAACTGACTCACATAATGTCAGTTGAGTGGTGGGTACTGGTTCCTGACAGGGGTGACAAATCCACGCTATGGATTGCCCCTGTGTGGCTAATTGTAAATCACCTAGATGCTGACATGGCCACGCCTCTGTGATGCACAGCTCCATGAGCTGAGGGGTAAGAACATCTGGTGGTAACGTCATTGGCACAGGTGGACTTAAAGCAAGTTGTCAATCGGTTTCTGGGGGATCCAGGGAGCTTTCTGGGAGGAGTTTCCAGCTCAGAACAGAAGGCAGCTTGGTGTGGCAGAAAGAGCACTGGACATGGAGTCAGACTGACCTGGACACAGTGCCTGCCTCTGCCACATCTAGGCTGAGTGGTCTTGAGCAAGCCACCTCTCCTCGCGGATGAGAGTCAGTGGAGTTGCCAACGAAGGGCTGTGTATGCGAGCCTGTCACACAGCAGATGTACAATAGGATCCAAATCTGAAAGGATGATCCATGGAGGGAAAGAGAAGGAAGGCTTCTTCAAGGAAGAGTAAGGTTGGGACAGGAGACGGAGGAGGAACAGAGCCAGAGGATTTGCCCCGGACATCGAGATTGGGTGTGGATGGTGATGGGAGAACGGGTAAAAATGAGAGACTTGTGAATTTTTATATAGGAGTTCAACCTTGGTGTTCC